AAGAATATGAATTACTGCAGTCACGAAAGCTTTAAATCAAAATTTTATTGTTGTTTTATATATATCTGTATTATTTTATTATTGTTCTTAGTTCTTTCGGTAAAGTCACGTGACTAAGAATATGAATTACTGCAGTCACGAAAGCTTTAACTCAAAATTTTATTATTGTTTTATATATATTTGTATTATTTTTTTACTATTATTCTTAGTTCTTTCGGTAAAGTCACGTGCCTTTACCGAAAGAACTAAGAATATGAATTACTGCAGTCACGAAAGCTTTAAATCAAAATTGTATTATTGTTTTACATATATATTTGTATTATTTTACTGTTTCCCTTTCAACCGTGGTGACTTTTAACCAAAAGAGCTAAGAGTATGATAAACACAAGTGGCCTCCATCAGGTGGAGCTTTAAACTTAAAGGAAGGCGACCAGCGCTTTTGGCTTTCTTCACTCCAACGCTGTCCTCCGGACAGTCCGGGCCCTCCACCTGATGGAAGGGTCGCCTGCGTCGCGGCCGAAACGTCGTGAGAATTTTTTGTTGTTTAAATTTTTATTTTATTTTTCTACCTACGTGTGGTGACTTTTAGCGAATAGAACCCAAAGAAGACGTCATCATTACTCTTTTGCGTTCTATTCGGTTAAAGTCACCACGTAGGTGAAAAAAATAAAAAATAAAAACGACAAAAATCACGAAAATCAGCTTTAAATCTAGAATTGACGTCATCATTGTTTACAAAATTGCGACCGCGTGGTGCTCTGACGTCGCCACGCAAACGGCGCAAGAATACGCTGTGACGTCATCGCGCTGGGGAGGAGAGAGGGGGGAGGGGTTTAAGCGGTGACGTCTACACGGTGGGAGGTTTTTTTTAATATCGTCACCACGTTGGCAAGGGAGGGTCTTTGCGCGGTGACGTCACCACGCGGATTCAGAGGGGGGTTGCGTGGTGACGTCACTTCCGGATGTGATTACTTTAAATCTAGAATTGACGTCATCACTGTTTACAAAATTGCGACCGCGTGGTGCTCTGACGTCGCCACGCAAACGGCGCAAGAATACGCTGTGACGTCATCGCGCTGGGGAGGAGAGGTGGAGGAGGGGTTTAAGCGGTGACGTCAACACGGTGGGAGGTTTTTTTTCTCATCATTCGTCACCACGTTGGCAAGGGAGGGTCTTTGCGCGGTGACGTCACCACGCTGATTCAGCGGGGGGGGTTGCGTGGTGACGTCACTTCCGGGCGTGATTGCGCAATCCCCGGAAGCGCGCGTGGAGTCGATCCTCACCACCAGCAGAAGGTGAGGCACTGCGGATTGCTCACCACAACAACAATCACCACAACTACAACAACAACCACAACAATCACCACCACAACAACTACCACAACAACAATCACCACAACAACAACCATCACCACCATCACAACAACCACCACAACCATCACCACAACAACAACAACCACAACTACCACAACTATAACAACAACTACCACAACAACAACAACCACAACAACAATCACCACCACAACAACTACCACAACAACAACTACTACCACAACAACAACAACTACTACCACAACCACCACAACTACAACAACAACAATCACCACAACAACTACCACAACAACAACTATCACCACAACTATCACCACTACTACCACAACAACTACCACAACAACAACAATCACCACAACAACTACCACAACTACAACAACTACCACTACAACTATAACAACTACCACAACAACAACTACTACCATAACAACAATCACCACCACAACAACAATCACCACAACAACAACAACCACCACAACTACCACAACAATCACCACAACAATCACCACAACAACAACTACCACAACAACCACCACAACCATCACCACCACAACCACCACAACCAACACAACAACTACCACAACAACCACCACAACCATCACCACCACAACCACCACAACCAACACAACAACAATCACCACCACAACCACAACAACCATCACCACAACCATCACCACCACAACCACCACAACAACAACGCCCCATTCGACACTAAGTGGCGGTGAGCGTCATCACGGCGCCTGTGCCAGGCTAGGTGCATGAGGTCACGTGACAGGCCCTGCAGGTGCCATGGGTTGTACTGCTGTGCCAGGCTAGGTGCATGAGGAGGAGGTCACGTGACAGACCCAGCAGGTGCCACGGGTTGTACTGCTGCTGTGCCAGGCTAGGTGCAGCTGTACCCCACCCCCTACTGTGCCAACTCGCTGCGTTTTACCCGCCCGGCGCTCCGCTCGTTGTTGTGAGCGTCGCTCCTCGGCCCTCCGTTGTTGTTGGAGGGCGACTGCCTCCCAATGGCCCAGTAGCAGCGTCCTCAAGGTGCACCTAGCCTGGCACTGCCCAGGGGCAGCGTCCTCAAGGTGCACCTAGCCTGGCACTGCCCAGGGGCAGCGTCCTCAAGGTGCACCTAGCCTGGCACTGCCCAGGGGCAGCGTCCTTCACGAGCCTCCTCCACAGAGGCCGATCTTGACACCGCTGGTACCGGTCATCGGCAAGTCCACTCAGCTCCACGTCCTCCTGTACCACGTCACTCGTCACCAAAGGCAAAGCTCCCCCAGGTAGCCTCTAGCAGGGCTGTAGGGGCAAGTGTAGTGACACAGACAAAGCTCCCCCAGGTAGCCTCTAGCAGGGCTGTAGGGGCAAGTGCTGTTACACACAGACAAAGCTCCCCCAGGTAGCCTCTAGCAGGGCTGTAGGGGCAAGTGTAGTGACACACACGGACAAAGCTCCCCCAGGTAGCCTCTAGCAGGGCTGTAGGGGCAAGTGTAGTGACACACACACACGGACAAAGCTCCCCCAGGTAGCCTCTAGCAGGGCTGTAGGGGCAAGTGTAGTGACACACACACACGGACAAAGCTCCCCCAGGTAGCCTCTAGCAGGGCTGTAGGGGCAAGTGCAGTGACACACACAGACAAAGCTCCCCCAGGTAGCCTCTAGCAGAGCTGTAGGGGCAAGTGTTGTTACACAGACAAAGCTCCCCCAGGTAGCCTCTAGCAGGGCTGTAAGGGCAAGTGCTGTTACACACACACAGACAAAGCTCCCCCAGGTAGCCTCTAGCAGGGCTGTAGGGGCAAGTGCTGTTACACACAGACAAAGCTCCCCCAGGTAGCCTCTAGCAGGGCTGTAGGGGCAAGTGTAGTGACACACACAGACAAAGCTCCCCCAGGTAGCCTCTAGCAGGGCTGTAGGGGCAAGTGTAGTGACACACACAGACAAAGCTCCCCCAGGTAGCCTCTAGCAGGGCTGTAGGGGCAAGTGTAGTGACACACACACAGACAAAGCTCCCCCAGGAGCCTCTAGCAGGGCTGTAGGGGCAAGTGTTGTTACACACACACACACAGACAAAGCTCCCCCAGGTAGCCTCTAGCAGGGCTGTAGGGGCAAGTGTAGTGACACACACACAGACAAAGCTCCCCCAGGTAGCCTCTAGCAGGGCTGTAGGGGCAAGTGTAGTGACACACACACAGACAAAGCTCCCCCAGGTAGCCTCTAGCAGGGCTGTAGGGGCAAGTGCAGTGACACACACAGACAAAGCTCCCCCAGGTAGCCTCTAGCAGGGCTGTAGGGGCAAGTGCTGTTACACACACACAGACAACGCTCCCCCAGGTAGCCTCAAGCAGGCTGTAGGGGCAAGTGCTGTTACACACAGACAAAGCTCCCCCAGGTAGCCTCTAGCAGGGCTGTAGGGGCAAGTGTAGTGACACACACAGACAAAGCTCCCCCAGGTAGCCTCTAGCAGGGCTGTAGGGGCAAGTGCTGTTACACACACAGACAAAGCTCCCCCAGGTAGCCTCTAGCAGGACTGTAGGGGCAAGTGCTGTTACACACACACAGACAAAGCTCCCCCAGGTAGCCTCTAGCAGGGCTGTAGGGGCAAGTGTAGTGACACACACAGACAAAGCTCCCCCAGGTAGCCTCTAGCAGGGCTGTAGGGGCAAGTGCTGTTACACACAGACAAAGCTCCCCCAGGTAGCCTCTAGCAAGGCTGTAGGGGCAAGTGCTGTTACACACACAGACAAAGCTCCCCCGTGTAGCCTCTAGCAGGGCTGTAGGGGCAAGTGTAGTGACACAGACAAAGCTCCCCCAGGTAACCTCTAGCAGGCTGTAGGGGCAAGTGTAGTGACACAGACAAAGCTCCCCCAGGTAGCCTCTAGCAGGCCGTAGGGGCAAGTACTGTTACACACACAGACAAAGCTCCCCCAGGTAACCTCTAGCAGGCTGTAGGGGCAAGTGCTGTTACACACACACAGACAAAGCTCCCCCAGGTAGCCTCTCCCCCCATCTCTCCCCCATCTCTCTCACATCTCTCCCCCATCTCCCCCCCATCTCTAGCAGCAGGAGCACCAGCAGGAGGAGGAGGAGGAGCAGCAGCAGCAGGAGGAGCACCAGGAGGAGGAGGAGGTTGTGGAGGAGGAGCACCAGTAGGAGGAGGTTGTGTAGGAGGAGGTTGTGTAGGAGGAGGTTGTGTAGGAGGAGCACTAGTAGTAGGAGGAGGTTGTGTAGGAGGAGCACCAGCAGGAGGAGGTTGTGTAGGAGGAGCACCAGCAGGAGGAGGTTATGTAGGAGCACCACCAGGAGGAGGAGGAGGAGGTTGTGTAGGAGGAGGAGGTTGTGTAGAAGCACCACCAGTAGGAGGAGGTTGTGTAGGAGGTTGTGTAGCAGCAGGAGGAGCACCAGGAGGAGGAGGTTGTGTAGGAGGAGGTTGTGTAGGAGGAGCACCAGCAGGAGGAGGTTGTGTAGGAGGAGGAGGTTGTGTAGGAGGAGGTTGTGTAGGAGGAGGTTGTGTAGGAGGAGGTTGTGTAGGAGGAGGTTGTGTAGGAGGAGGAGGAGGTTGTGTAGGAGGAGCACCACCACCAGGAGGAGGAGCACCACCAGGAGGAGGTTGTGTAGGAGGAGGAGGTTGTGTAGGAGGAGCACCAGCAGGAGGTTGTGTGGGAGGAGGTTGTGTAGGAGGAGCACCAGTAGGAGGAGGTTGTGTAGGAGCAGGAGGAGGTTGTGTAGGAGGAGGAGGTTGTGTAGGAGGAGGTTGTGTAGGAGCAGGAGGAGGTTGTGTAGGAGGAGGTTGTGTAGGAGTAGGAGGAGGTTGTGTGCGATGGAGGAGGGCGATGTGCAGAGTGCCGTGTGGCGAGGCCGTGTGCCCTCCTGCTTCTCGCTGAGCCCCAACCACGACACGAGCAGGGAGGCTGAGCCCTACTACGTAGGTACCATCACCAACACCATCATCACCAACACCACCATCACCAACACCACCATCACCAACACCACCATCACCAACACCAACATCATCACCAACATCACCAACATCACCACCATCAATATCATCATCACCAACACCACCATCACCATCACCAACATCACCATCACCAACACCACCATCACCAACACCACCATCACCAACATCACCACCATCAATATCAACACCATCATCACCAACACCACCAACACCAACATCACCATCAATATCAACATCACCATCAACACCACCATCAACATCATCACCAACATCACCAACATCACCATCATCATCACCATCACCAACATCACCATCAACAACATCATCAACATCACCAACATCACCATCATCAATATCAACACCACCATCACCAACATCACCATCAATATCAACATCACCATCAACACCACCATCAACATCATCATCACCATCATCAACATCATCACCAACACCAACATCATCACCATCACCAACACCACCATCACCATTAACATCACCAACATCACTATCACCAACATCACCAACATCACCACCACCAACATCACCATCATCACTATCACCAACATCACCAACAATCACCAACATCAACATCACCATCACCATTATCATCAACATCACTAACATCAACATCATCACCACCAACATCAACAACATCATCACCAACACCATCACTATCACCAACATCACCAACACCAACATCACCATTAACATCACTATTACCAACATCAACACCACCATCACCACCATCACCATCATCAACATCACCAACATCAACATCACCATCACCAACACCACCATCACCAACACCACCATCACCAACACCACCATCACCAACATCACCATCACCAACATCACCATTAACATCACTATCACCAACATCAACACCACCATCACCATCAATATCAACATCACCATCAACACCACCATCAACATCATCATCACCATCATCAACATCACCAACATCACCACCAACATCATCACCACCATCACCAACATCACCATCATCACCATCATCACCACCAACATCAACAACATCATCACCAACATCATCATCACCACCATCACCAACATCACCATCATCACCATCATCACCACCATCATCAATATCAACATCACCAACATCACCACCATTAACATCAACATCATCACCAACATCATCATCATCACCATCACCAACATCACCATCACCAACATCACCATTAACATCACTATCACCAACATCAACACCACCATCACCAACATCACCACCATTAACATCAACATCATCACCAACATCATCATCATCACCAACATCACCATCACCAACATCACCATTAACATCACTATCACCAACATCAACACCACCATCACCAACATCATCACCATCATCAACATCATCATCACCATCATCAACATCATCACCAACATCAACATCATCACCAACATCAACATCACCACCACCATCACCAACACCACCATCAACATCACCACCATCACCAACACCACCATCACCATCATCAACATCACCAACATCACCATCACCATTAACATCACCATCACCAACATCAACACCACCATCACCAACATCATCATCATCACCATCATCAACATCATCGTCAACATCATCATCAACATCACCAACATCAACATCACCATTAACATCACCATCATCAACATCACCATCACCAACATCACCAACACCACCATCACCAACATCAACATCATCACCAACACCACCATCACCAACATCACCATCATCACCACCATCACCAACACCACCATCACCAACACCATCATCACCAACACCACCATCACCAACATCAACATCATCACCAACATCACCACCAACATCACCACGAACATCAAAATCATCACCATCACCAACATCACCATCAACATCATCATCACCATCACCAACATCACCAACATCACCATCATCACCACCAACATCACCACCAACATCACCATCAACACCATCACCAACATCACCACCAACATCATCATCAACATCACCATCATCACCACCCATATCACCACCAACATCACCATCAACATCACCAACATCATCATCACCATCACCAACATCACCATCAACATCATCATCACCATCACCAACATCACCAACATCACCATCATCATCACCAACATCACCACCAACATCACCATCAACACCATCACCAACATCACCACCAACATCACCATCAACATCACCATCATCACCACCCATATCACCACCAACATCACCATCAACATCACCAACATCATCATCACCATCACCAACATCACCATCAACATCATCATCACCATCACCAACATCACCAACATCACCATCATCACCACCAACATCACCACCAACATCACCATCAACACCATCACCAACATCACCACCAACATCACCATCAACATCACCATCATCACCACCCATATCACCACCAACATCACCATCAACATCACCAACATCATCATCACCATCACCAACATCACCATCAACATCATCATCACCATCACCAACATCACCATCATCACCACCAACATCACCACCAACATCACCATCAACACCATCACCAACATCACCACCAACATCATCATCAACATCACCATCATCACCACCCATATCACCACCAACATCACCATCAACATCACCAACATCATCATCACCATCACCAACATCACCATCAACATCATCATCACCATCACCAACATCACCAACATCACCATCATCACCACCAACATCACCACCAACATCACCATCAACACCATCACCAACATCACCACCAACATCACCATCAACATCACCATCATCACCACCCATATCACCACCAACATCACCATCAACATCACCAACATCATCATCACCATCACCAACATCACCATCAACATCATCATCACCATCAACAACATCACCAACATCACCATCATCACCACCAACATCACCATCAACATCACCATCAACACCATCACCAACATCACCACCAACATCATCATCAACATCACCATCATCACCACCCATATCACCACCAACATCACCATCAACATCACCAACATCATCATCACCATCACCAACATCACCATCAACATCATCATCACCATCACCAACATCACCAACATCACCATCATCACCACCAACATCACCACCAACATCACCATCAACACCATCACCAACATCACCACCAACATCACCATCAACATCACCAACATCACCACCCATATCACCACCAACAGCACCATCAACATCACCAACATCATCATCACCATCACCAACATCACCATCAACATCATCATCACCATCACCAACATCACCAACATCACCATCATCACCACCAACATCACCACCAACATCACCATCAACACCATCACCAACATCACCACCAACATCATCATCAACATCACCATCATCACCACCCATATCACCACCAACATCACCATCAACATCACCAACATCATCATCACCATCACCAACATCAACATCATCATCACCATCACCAACATCACCAACATCACCATCATCACCACCAACATCACCACCAACATCACCATCAACACCATCACCAACATCACCACCAACATCACCATCAACATCACCATCATCACCACCCATATCACCACCAACATCACCACCAACATCACCAACATCATCATCACCATCACCAACATCACCATCAACATCATCATCACCATCACCAACATCACCAACATCACCATCATCACCACCAACATCACCACCAACATCACCATCAACACCATCACCAACATCACCACCAACATCATCATCAACATCACCATCATCACCACCCATATCAACACCAACATCACCATCAACATCACCAACATCATCATCACCATCACCAACATCACCATCAACATCATCATCACCATCACCAACATCACCAACATCACCATCATCACCACCAACATCACCACCAACATCACCATCAACACCATCACCAACATCACCACCAACATCACCATCAACATCACCATCATCACCACCCATATCACCACCAACATCACCATCAACATCACCAACATCATCATCACCATCACCAACATCACCATCAACATCATCATCACCATCACCAACATCACCAACATCACCATCATCACCACCAACATCACCACCAACATCACCATCAACACCATCACCAACATCACCACCAACATCATCATCAACATCACCATCATCACCACCCATATCACCACCAACATCACCATCAACATCACCAACATCATCATCACCATCACCAACATCACCATCAACATCATCATCACCATCACCAACATCACCAACATCACCATCATCACCACCAACATCACCACCAACATCACCATCAACACCATCACCAACATCACCACCAACATCACCATCAACATCACCATCATCACCACCCATATCACCACCAACATCACCATCAACATCACCAACATCATCACCATCACCAACATCACCATCAACATCATCATCACCATCACCAACATCACCATCATCACCACCAACATCACCACCAACATCACCATCAACACCATCACCAACATCACCACCAACATTACCATCAACATCACCATCATCACCACCCATATCACCACCAACATCACCATCACCAACATCATCATCACCATCACCAACATCACCATCAACATCATCATCACCATCACCAACATCACCAACATCACCATCATCACCACCAACATCACCACCACCATCACCATCAACACCATCACCAACATCACCACCAACATCACCATCAACATCACCATCATCACCACCCATATCACCACCAACATCACCATCAACATCACCAACATCATCATCACCATCACCAACATCACCATCAACATCATCATCACCATCACCAACATCACCAACATCACCATCATCACCACCAACATCACCATCACCATCAACACCATCACCAACATCACCACCAACATCACCATCAACATCACCATCATCACCACCCATATCACCACCAACATCACCATCAACATCACCAACATCATCATCACCATCACCAACATCACCATCAACATCATCATCACCAACATCACCAACATCACCATCATCACCACCAACATCACCACCAACATCACCATCAACACCATCACCAACATCACCACCAACATCACCATCAACATCACCATCATCACCACCCATATCACCACCAACATCACCATCATCACCACCAACATCACCATCAACATCACCACCAACATCACCATCAACATCACCACCATCATCACCATCAACATCACCACCACCATCACCACCAACATCACCAACATCACCACCAACATCACCACCAACATCACCAACATCACCACCACCATCACCACCACCATCACCAACATCAACATCACCATCATCACCACCAACATCATCACCATCACCAACATCAACATCACCACCAACATCACCACCAACATCACCATCAACATCACCATCAACATCACCATCATCACCACCATCATCACCATCAATATCACCATCAACATCACCAGCAACATCACCATCATCACCACCACTAACACCATCAACACCATCAACATCACCACCATCACCACCATCATCACCATCAACATCACCACCAACATCACCATCATCACCACCATCACCAACATAACCAACATCATCACCAACATCAACATCAACATCATCACCATCATCACCAACATCACCATCAACATCACCACCAACATCATCACCACCAACATCAACATCACCATCAACATCACCACCATCATCACCACCATCATCACCATCAACATCACCATCATCACCATTAACATCACCACCATCATCACCACCATCAACATCACACCACCATCAACATCACCATCACCAACATGACCACCAACATCACCACCATTTTCATCATCATCATCATCACCATCATCACCACCATCATCATCACCACCACCATTACCACCAACACCATCATCACCACCAACATCACCACCGTCACCACCATCACCACCATCAACATCACCACCAACATCAACATCACCACCATCATCACCATCATCACCATCACCAACATCATCACCACCAACATCACTACCAACATCATCATCATGATGATGGTGATGTTTGCCAGGTAATGGTGATGATGATGGTGGTGATGATGGTGATGATGTTGATTATGATGATGTTGATGATGTTGATGATGATGGTGATTTTTTTTATTGTTTTATATATATATTTTATGATTTTGTTGTTTCTCTTCAACGTGACTTTACCGAAAAAACTAAGAATATGTTGATGATGTTGATGATGTTGATGATGATGATGATGCTGGTGATGTTTGCCAGGTGATGTTGCCACGACTGGGCTATCTGCCGCTGGTGATGGACTCAGTCCTGCGACACTTTGTGAAGAGTCTGCCTCGTGGTGAGGAGGTGCGTGGTGAGGAGGTGTGGGTGGAGAGCGATGGAACTGCACTCAAGTGGTAACTGGCTCACCACTCGCTCACCACTTGCTCACCACTCACCAACACACTCACTCACCACTCACTCACCCGTTCACTAACTCACTCACTCACTCACCCATTCACTAACACACTCACCCACTCACTCACCCATTCACTAACACACTCACTCACTCACTCACCAACACACCCACCCACTCACTCACCAACACACCCACCCACTCACTCACCAACACACCCACCCACTCACTCACCAACACACCCACCCACTCACTCACCAACACACCCACCCACCCACTCACCCACTCACCCACTCACTCACTCACCCACTCACTCACCCACTCACTCACCCACTCACTCACTCACCCACTCACTCACCCACTCACTCACTCACCCACCCACTCACTCACTCACCCACTCACTCACTCACCCACTCACTCACTCACTCACCCACTCACTCACTCACCACTCGTTCACACTTTGTGAACGAGTGGTGAGGAGGTGTGGGTGGAGAGCGATGGAACTGCACTCAAGTGGTAACTCGCTCACCACTCGCTCACCACTCACTCACCACTCACCAACACACACACTCACTCATCAACACACTCACCCACTCACTCACCCATTCACTAACTCACTCACTCACCCACTCACTCACCCATTCACTAACTCACTCACCCACTCACTCACCCATTCACTAACTCACTCACTCACTCACCCACTCACTCACCCATTCACTAACTCACTCACACACTCACCCACCCACTCACTCACCAACACACCCACTCACTCACCCATTCACTAACTCACTCACCCACTCACCACTCACCAACACACTCACTCACTCACTCACCCATTCACTAACTCACTCACCCACTCACCACTCACCAACACACTCACTCACTCACTCACCCATTCACTAACTCACTCACCCACTCACTCACCCATTCACTAACACACTCACCCACCCACTCACTCACCAACACACTCACCCACCCACTCACCCACTCACCCACCCACTCACCAACACACTCACTCACCCACTCACCCACTCACTCACTCACTCACCCACTCACTCACTCACCACTCGTTCACACTTTGTGAACGAGTGGTGAGGAGGTGAGTGGTGAGGAGGTGTGGGTGGAGAGCGATGGAACTGCACTCAAGTGGTAACTCGCTCACCACTCGCTCACCAACTCACTCACCACTCACCAACACACCCACTCACTCACCCACTCACTAACTCACTCACTCACCACTCACTCACCCACTCACTCGCTCACCCACTCACTCACTCATACACTCACTCACCCACTCACTCACCCACTCACTCACTCACTCATACACTCACTCACTCACCACTCGCCCACTCACCACTCGCTCACTCACTCACCCACTCACTCACTCACTCACCCACTCACTCACTCACTCACCCACTCACTCACTCACTCACCCACTCACTCACCCACTCACTCACTCACTCACCCACCAACTCACCTACCCACCCACTCACTCACCAACACACCCACTCACTCACTCACCAACACACTCACTCACCACTCACTCACCCACTCACCACTCGAGTCTGCCTCGTGGTGAGGAGGTGCGTGGTGAGGAGGTGTGGGTGGAGAGCGATGGAACTGCACTCAAGTGGTAACTCGCTCACCACTCGCTCACCAACTCACTCACCACTCACCAACACACTCACTCACTCACTCACCCGTTCACTAACTCACTCACCCACTCACTCACCCACCCACTAACTCACTCACCCACTCACTCACTCACCAACACACTCACTCACTCACCCATTCACTAACTCACTCACCCACTCACTCACCCATTCACTAACTCACTCACCCACTCACTCACCCACCCACCCACTCACCACTCACTCACTCACTCACCCACCCGCCCACTCACCCACTCACTCACCCACCCACCACTCACTCACCAACACACTCACTCACCACTCGCTCACTCACTCACTCACCCACCCACTCGCTCACCACTCGCTCACCACTCACCCACTCACTCACTCACTCAATCACCACTCGCTCACTCACTCACTCACCAACACACTCACTCACTCATCACTCACTCGCTCACTCACTCACTCACCACTCGTTCATTCACTCACTCACCAACACACTCACTCACCAGCACACTCACTCGCTCACTGACCAACACACTCACTCACTCACCAACACACTCACCCACTCACTCACCACTCGCTCACTCACCACTCACCTACTCACTCACTCACTCACCAACACACTCACTCACTCACCACTCACTCACCAACACACTCACTCACTCACCACTCACTCACCAACACAATCACTCACCACTCACTCACCACTCGTTCACTCACTCACCAACACACTCACTCACCACTCACTCACCACTCACTCACTCACCACTCGTTCACTCACTCACCAACACACTCACTCACCAACACACTCACCACTCGCTCACCCACCCACTCACTCACTCACCAACACACTCACTCACTCACCAACACACTCACCACTCGCTCACTCACCACTCGCTCACCAACACACCCACTCACTTACTCACCACTCACCCACTCACCAACACACTCATCTACTCGGGGGAGCTTTGTCTGTTTGTGTGTAACAGCACTTGCCCCTACAGCCCTGCTACAGGCTACCTGGGGGAGCTTTGTCTGTGTGTGTAACAGCACTTGCCCCTACAGCCTGCTAGAGGCTACCTGGGGGAGCTTTGTCTGTGTGTGTGTAACAGCACTTGCCCCTACAGCCCTGCTAGAGGCTACCTGGGGGAGCTTTGTCTGTGTGTAACAGCACTTGCCCCTACAGCCTGCTAGAGGCTACCTGGGGGAGCTTTGTCTGTGTGTGTGTAACAGCACTTGCCCCTACAGACCTGCTAGAGGCTACCTGGGGGAGCTTTGTCTGTGTGTGTAACAGCACTTGCCCCTACAGCCCTGCTAGAGGCTACCTGGGGGAGCTTTGTCTGTGTGTGTAACAGCACTTGCCCCTTCAGCCTGCTAGAGGCTACCTAGGGGAGCTTTGTCTGTGTAACAGCACTTGCCCCTACAGCCTGCTAGAGGCTACTCGGGGGAGCTTTGTCTATGTGTGTAACAGCACTTGCCCCTACAGCCCTGCTAGAGGCTACCTGGGGGAGCTTTGTCTGTGTGTGTAACAGCACTTGCCCCTACAGTCCTTCTAGAGGCTACCTGGGGGAGCTTTGTCTGTGTGTGTGTGACAGCACTTGCCCCTACAGCCCAGCTAGAGGCTACCTGGGGGAGCTTTGTCTGTGTCTGTGTGTAACAGCACTTGCCCCTACAGCCCTGCTAGAGGCTACCTGGGGGTGCTTTGTCTGTGTGTGTAACAGCACTTGCCCCTACAGCCTGCTAGAGGCTACCTGGGGGAGCTTTGTCTGTGTGTAACAGCACTTGCCCCTACAGCCTGCTAGAGGCTACCTGGGGGAGCTTTGTCTGTGTGTGTAACAGCACTTGCCCCTTCAGCCTGCTAGAGGCTACCTGGGGGAGCTTTGTCTGTGTGTGTGTAACAGCACTTGCCCCTACAGCCTGCTAGAGGCTACCTGGGGGAGCTTTGTCTGTGTGTGTAACAGCACTTGCCCCTACAGCCTGCTAGAGGCTACCTGGGGGAGCTTTGTCTGTGTGTGTAACAGCACTTGCCCCTACAGCCTGTGTGAGCTACCCGGGGGTGCTTTGTCTGTGTGTAGGCAGTACCCGATTGGCCTGCTGTACGACCTCCATAACACCAACTCCACGTTACCATGGCAGCTCACAGTACATCTGAAGGTATCAGTGGCAGTACCACCCTCCCTCCCGTACTACCTACCCACTCAGCCACCCACCAACTCACTCAATCACCCACCCACCCACTCACTCACTCACCCACCCACTCACTCACCCACTCACTCACCCACTCACTCACCCACTCACCCACTCACTCACCCACTCACTCACTCACTCACCCACCCACTCACCCACTCACTCACCCACTCACTCACCCACTCACCTACTCACTCATCCACTCACCCACTCACTCACCCACCCACTCACTCACCCACCCACTCACCCACCCACTCACTCACTCACCCACCCACTCACTCACCCACCCACTCACTCACTCACTCACCCACTCACCCACCCATTCACCCACTCACTCACCCACCCACTCACTCACTCACCCACCCACCCACTCACCCACTCACCCACCCACTCACCCACTCACTCACCCACCCACTCACTCACCCACCCACCCACTCACCCACTCACCACTCACTCACCACTCACCACCCTCTCACCCACTCACCCACTCACTCACTCACCACTCACTCACTCACCCACTCACTCACCCACCCACTCACCCACCCACTCACCCACTCACCCACTCACTCACCCACTCACCCACCCATTCACTCACCCACTCACCCACCCACTCACCCACCCACTCACTCACCCACCCACTCACTCACCCACTCACTCACTCACCCACCCACCCACTCATCCACTCAACCCACTCACCCACTCACTCACACACTCACTCACCACTCACTCACCCACTCACCCACTCACCCACCCACTCACCACTCACTCACCACTCACCACCCTCTCACCCACTCACCCACTCACTCACCACTCACTCACTCACCCACTCACCCACTCACCCACTCACTCACTCACCCACCCACTCACCCACTCACTCACCCACCCACTCACTCACTCACTCACCCACTCACTCACCCACTCACTCACCCATCCACCCACCCACCACTCACTCACTCATCCACTCACCCACTCACTCACTCACTCACCCACTCACCCACCCACTCACTCACTCACCCACTCACTCACCCACTCACACACCCCACTCACTCACTCACTCACCCACCCACTCACTCACTCACTCACCCACCCACTCACTCACTCACCCACTCACTCACCACTCACCACTCACTCACCACTCACTCACCACTCACCCACTCACCCACCCACCCACCCACTCACTCACCCACTCACCCACTCACTCACCCACTCACTCACCCACCCACCACCCACTCACTCACCCACTCACTCACCCATCCACCCACTCACTCACCCACTCACTCACCCACTCACCCCACTCACCCACTCACTCACTCACCCACTCACTCACCCACTCACCCACCCACCCCCACACTCACCCACCACTCACTCACCCACTCACTCACCACTCACCCACCTCACCCACTCACCCACCACTCCACCCACTCACCCACCACCCCCACACTCACCCCACCCACTCACTCACCCACCCACTCACTCACCCACCCCACCCCACTCACTCACTCACTCATCCACTCACTCACCACTCACCTCACCCACTCACCCACTCACTCACCACTCACCACCCACCCACTCACCCACCCACTCACCCACCACTCACCCACCCACTCACCCACCACTCACTCCACCCACTCACTCACTCACCCACCCACTCCACTCCACTCACCCACCCACCCACTCACCCACTCACTCACCCACCCACTCACTCACCTCACTCACCCCACCCACTCACTCCCACTCACCCACTCACCTCACCCACTCACCCACTCACTCACCACTCACTCACCACTCACCCACTCACTCACCCACTCACTCACCCACTCACTCACCCACCTCACCCACTCCACTCACCCACTCACCCACTCACTCACCCACTCACTCACTCACCCTCACCCACCTCACCCACTCACTCACTCACCCACTCACCCACTCACTCACCCACTCACTCAACCATCCACCCACTCACTCACCCACTCACTCACCCACTCACCCACTCACTCACTCACCCACTCACTCACCCACTCACCCACCCACTCACCCACTCACCCACCCACCCCCACTCTCACCCACCCACTCACTCACCCACCCACTCACTCACCCACCCACTCACTCACTCACCCACTCACTCACCCCACTCACTCATCACTCACCCACTCACCCATCACTCACTCACTCACACTCACCACCCACCCACTCCCCACCCACTCACCCACTCACTCCCACCCACTCACCCACCCACTCACTCACCCACTCACTCCACCCACCCACTCACTCACTCACCACCCACCCACCCACCCACCACTCACTCACCACCCACTCACCCACTCACTCACCACTCACCACACTCACCCACTCACTCACCCACCCACTCACTCACTCACCCACCCACTCACCCACCCCACACTCACCCACCCCCACTCACTCACCCACTCACTCACCCACCCACTCACTGACCCACCCACTCACTCACTCACTCACCCACCCACCCACTCACTCACCCACTCACTCACTCACTCACCCACCCACTCACGCACCCACCCACCCACCCACTCACTCACCCACTCACTCACTCACCCACCCACTCACGCACCCACCCACCCACTCACTCACTCACCCACTCACTCACTCACCCACCCACTCACTCACTCACCCACTCACTCACCCACTCACTCACTCACCCACTCACTCACTCACCCACCCACTCACTCACCACTCACTCACCACCCACCCACTCACTCACTCACCACTCACTCACCACTCACCACCCTCTCACCCACTCACCCACTCACTCACTCACTCACCCACCCACTCACCCACTCACTCACCCACCCACCCCACTCACTCACCCACTCACCCACTCACTCACTCACCCACCCACTCACTCACCCACTCACCCACCCACTCACCCACTCACTCACTCAGCCACTCACTCACCACTCACCCACTCACCCACTCACTTACTCACCCACTCACCCACCCACTCACCCACTCACTCACCCACCCACCCACCCACTCACTCACCCACTCACCCACTCACTCACCCACTCACTCACTCACCACTCACTCACCACTCACCACCCTCTCACCCCTAGGGGTTCCCTCGGGGTGAACTCCTGGAGGGCCCTTCCCGGGAGGCCATGGAGGGTCTCTTCATGTCCGCCCTGAAGGAGGCCGATTGCCTGAAACATCGCGGACACCTCATGGGCGAGCTGCAGCGCAAGGAGCACAAACAGCTGTGGCTGGGCCTCCTCAACGGTCAGCCTACCTCCTCACCTACCTCCTCACCTACCTCCTCACCTACCTCCTCACCTACTCACCTACCTCCTCACCTACCTCCTCACCCACCTCCTCACCTCCTCACCTACCTCCTCACCTACCTCCTCACCTCCTCACCTACCTCCTCACCTACCTCCTCACCTACCTCCTCACCTATCTCCTCACCTACCTCCTCACCTACCTCCTCACCTACCTCCTCACCTACCTACTCACCTACCTACTCACCTCCTCACCTACCTCCTCACCTACCTCCTCACCTACCTCCTCACCTCCTCACCTACCTCCTCACCTACCTCCTCACCTACCTCCTCACCTACCTCCTCACCTCCTCACCTACCTCCTCACCTACCTCCTCACCTCCTCACCTACCTCCTCACCTACTCACCTACCTCCTCACCTACCTCCTCACCTCCTCACCTACCTCCTCACCTACCTCCTCACCTACCTCCTCACATACCTACTCACCTACTCACCTACCTCCTCACCTACCTCCTCACCTACCTCCTCACCTACCTCCTCACCTACCTCCTCACCTCCTCACCTACCTCCTCACCTACCTCCTCACCTACCTCCTCACCTACCGCCTCACCTACCTCCTCACCTACTCACCTACCTCCTCACCTACCTCCTCACCTACCTCCTCACATACCTCCTCAACTCCTCACCTACCTCCTCACCTACCTCCTCACCTACCTCCTCACCTACCTCCTCACCTACCTCACCTACCTCCTCACCTACTCACCTACCTCCTCACCTCACCTACCTCCTCACCTACCTCCTCACCTCCTCACCTACCTCCTCACCTACCTCCTCACCTACCTCCTCACCTACCTCCTCACCTACCTCCTCACCTACCTCCTCACCTACCTCACCTACCTCCTCACCTACCTCCTCACCTACCTCCTCACCTACCTCCTCACCTCCTCACCTACCTCCTCACCTACCTCCTCACCTACCTCCTCACCTACCTCCTCACCTACCTCCTCACCTACCTCCTCACCTACTCACCTACCCCCTCACCTACCTCCTCACCTACCTTCTCACCTACCTCCTCACCTACCTCCTCACCTACCTCCTCACCTACCTCCTCACCTACCTCCTCACCTACTCACCTACCTCCTCACCTACCTCCTCACCTACCTCCTCACCTACCTCCTCACCTACCTCCTCACCTACCTCCTCACCTCCTCACCTACCTCCTCACCTACCTCCTCACCTACCTCCTCACCTACCTCCTCACCTCCTCACCTACCTCCTCACCTACCTCCTCACCTCCTCACCTACCTCCTCACCTACCTCCTCACCTCCTCACCTACCTCCTCACATACCTCCTCAACTCCTCACCTACCTCCTCACCTACCTCCTCACCTACCTCCTCGCCTACCTCCTCACCTACCTCCTCACCTACCTCCTCACCTACCTCCTCACCTACTCACCTACCTCCTCACCTACCTCCTCACCTACCTCCTCACCTACTCACCTACCTCCTCACCTACCTCCTCACCTACTCACCTACCTCCTCACCTACCTCCTCACTACCTCTTCACCTACCTCCTCACCTACCTCCTCACCTACCTCCTCACCTACCTCTTCACCTACCACCTACCTCCTCACCTACTCCCCTACCTCCTCACCTACCTCCTCACCTACCTCCTCACCTACCTCCTCAACTCCTCACCTACCTCCTCACCTACCTCCTCACCTACTCACCTACCTCCTCACCTACCTCCTCACCTACCTCCTCACCTACCTCCTCACCTACTCACCTACCTCCTCACCTACCTCCTCACCTACTCACCTACCTCCTCACCTACCTCCTCACCTACCTCTTCACCTACCTCCTCACCTACCTCCTCACCTACCTCCTCACCTACCTCTTCACCTACTCACCTACCTCCTCACCTACTCACCTACCTCCTCACCTACCTCCTCACCTACCTCCTCACCTACCTCCTCAACTCCTCACCTACCTCCTCACCTACCTCCTCACCTACTCACCTACCTCCTCACTACCTCCTCACCTACCTCCTCACCTACCTACTCAACTCCTCACCTACCTCCTCACCTACCTCCCCTACCTCCTCGCCTCCTCACCTACCTCCTCACCTACCTCCTCACCTACCTCCTCACCTACCTCCTCACCTCCTCACCTACCTCCTCACCTACCTCCTCACCTCCTCACCTACCTCCTCACCTACCTCCTCACCTACTCACCTACCTCCTCACCTACTCACCTACCTCCTCATCTACCTCCTCACCTACCTCCTCACCTACCTCCTCAACTCCTCACCTACCTCCTCACCTACCTCCTCACCTACCTCCTCACCTACCTCCTCACCTACTCACCTACCTACTCAACTCCTCACCTACCTCCTCACCTACCTCCTCACCTACCTCCTCACCTACCTACTCAACTCCTCACCTACCTCCTCACCTACCTCCTCACCTACCTCCTCACCTACTCACCTCACCTACCTCCTCACCTACCTCCTCACCTACCTCCTCACCTCACCTACCTCCTCACCTACCTCCTCACCTACCTCCTCACCTACTCACCTACCTACTCACCTACTCACCTACCTCCTCACCTACCTCCTCACCTACCTCCTCAACTCCTCACCTACCTCCTCACCTACCTCCTCACCTACTCACCTACCTCCTCACCTACCTCCTCACCTACCTCCTCACCTACCTACTCAACTCCTCAACCTACCTCCTCACCTACCTCCTCACCTACCTCCTCACCTCCTCACCTACCTCCTCACCTACCTCCTCAACCTACCTCCTCACCTACCTCCTCACCTACCTCCTCTACCTCCTCACCTACCTTCCTCACCTACCTCCTCACCTCCTCACCTACCTCCTCACCTACCTCCTCACCTACTCACCTACCTCCTCACCTACTCACCTACCTCCTCATCTACCTCCTCACCTACCTCCTCACCTACCTCCTCAACTCCTCACCTACCTCCTCACCTACCTCCTCACCTACCTCCTCACCTACCTCCTCACCTACTCACCTACCTACTCAACTCCTCACCTACCTCCTCACCTACCTCCTCACCTACCTCCTCACCTACTCCACCTCACCTACCTCCTCACCTACCTCCTCACCTACCTCCTCACCTCACCTACCTCCTCACCTACCTCCTCACCTACCTCCTCACCTACTCACCTACCTACTCACCTACTCACCTACCTCCTCACCTACCTCCTCACCTACCTCCTCACCTACCTCCTTGCCTAACTCCTCACCTACCTACTCACCTACCTCCTCACCTACCTCCTCACCTACCTCCTCACCTACCTCCTCACTTCCTCACCTACCTCCTCACCTACCTCCTCGCCTACCTCCTCACCTACCTCCTCACCTACCTCCTCACCTACTCACCTCCTCACCTACCTCCTCACCTACCTCCTCACCTACCTCCTCACCTACTCACCTACCTCCTCACCTACCTCCTCACCTACTCACCTACCTCCTCACCTACCTCCTCACCTACCTCTTCACCTACCTCCTCACCTACCTCCTCACCTACCTCCTCACCTCCTCACCTACCTCCTCACCTACTCACCTACCTCCTCACCTACCTCCTCACCTACCTCCTCACCTCCTCACCTACCTCCTCACCTACTCACCTACCTCCTCACCTACCTCCTCACCTACCTCCTCACCTCCTCACCTACCTCCTCACCTACCTCCTCACCTACTCACCTACCTCCTCACCTACCTCCTCACCTACCTCCTCACCTACTCACCTACTTCCTCACCTACTCACCTACCTACTCACCTACCTCCTCACCTCCTCACCTACCTCCTCACCTACCTCCTCACCTACTCACCTACCTCCTCACCTACCTCCTCACCTACCTCCTCACCTACTCACCTACCTCCTCACCTACCTCCTCACCTACCTCCTCACCTACCTCCTCAACTCCTCACCTACCTCCTCACCTACCTCCTCACCTACTCACCTACCTCCTCACCTACCCCTCACCTACCTCCTCACCTACCTCCTCACCTACCTCCTCACCTCCTCACCTACTCCTACCTACCTCCTCACCTACCTCCTCACCTACCTCCTCACCTACCTCCTCACCTCCTCACCTACCTCCTCACCTACTCCTCACCTCCTCACCTACCTCCTCACCTACCTCCTCACCTACTCACCTACCTCCTCACCTACTCACCTCCCCTCATCTACTCCTCACCTACCTCCTCACCTACCTCCTCACTCCTCACCTACCTCCTCACCTACCTCCTCACCTACCTTCTCACCTACCTCCTCACCTACTCACCTACCTCCTCACCTACCTACTCAACTCCTCACCTACCTCCTCACCTACCTCCTCACCTACCTCCTCACCTACCTCCTCACCTACCTACTCACCTACCTACTCAACTCCTCACCTACCTCCTCACCTACCTCCTCACCTACCTCCTCACCTACTCACCTCACCTACCTCCTCACCTACCTCCTCACCTACCTCCTCACCTACCTCCTCACCTCCTCACCTACCTCCTCACCTACCTCCTCACCTCCTCACCTACCTCCTCACATACCTCCTCAACCTCCACCTACCTCCTCACCTACCTCCTCACCTACCTCCTCGCCTACCTCCTCACCTACCTCCTCACCTACCTCCTCACCTACTCACCTACCTCCTCACCTACCTCCTCACCTACCTCCTCACCTACTCACCTACCTCCTCACCTACCTCCTCACCTACTCACCTACCTCCTCACCTACCTCCTCACCTACCTCTTCACCTACCTCCTCACCTACCTCCTCACCTACCTCCTCACCTACCTACTCACCTACCTCCTCACCTACTCACCTACCTCCTCACCTACCTACTCACCTACCTCCTCACCTACCTCCTCAACTCTCACCTACTCCTCACCTACCTCCTCACCTACTCACCTACCTCCTCACCTACCTCCTCACCTACCTCCTCACCTACCTCCTCACCTACTCACCTACCCTCACCTACCTCCTCACCTACTCACCTACCTCCTCACCT